TCCCTAATTCTAATATTTGTCCTGAGTGGTTATAATTTAACTGCTATTAATTTTTAAATTGAATTATTTGTTAATTCAAAAGAACTCTTCATTTTTTACTGATTTCCCCTTTATTATTATAGTTAATTCCTGATTTATGGATACAATAGCCTCTCAAATCTCTCTGAAATTTTTAAATCATTATAAGCTGCCTTCTCTTCTCTCCATTATCTCTTTCTCCCAGAGTGTTTATCACTATATGTCTTTTCAGGATATTAATTTTCTCCATGGCCGACTTTTTAATGTTGATTTTCTCCAATGACTGGTGACCTTTGGTGATTAGTTTATATTTATTAATGAACTGGGTTGATTAATTAATGAGTTAGGGTATGTCACTGCTATATGATTTCCTGTCATTGTATAGCTATTTTCCCAATTAACTCTTTTTTGAATAATAGGGAAAACTTTGGGTCCTGTATAAGTCAATCAAGTGTGAGAACTGTGCATGATGGAAGTGAACTTAACAGCACACATGCATTAGTACACACAGACACATACTGCATACACACATACACATATATACACCTCTCTCGCACACACACACAAACATACATCTTTAGTGCCAAAGGGAGAACAGTGAATGACTTCATTTTCTCTCCTAGACAAAGCTGATGTTTTCCTTTTATTTTCCCATCCATGTCTTTTGTGGAGGTTCCGAGTGACCTGATTAAATGAAAGTCTTCTTTGGTCCCAGCACTGGACATCTTACCAAGGCAGGTGGCTCACTTCATTCAGGGTGTCTTCCTTGGGTTCATACATAGCTGCTGCCTGCTGTTCAGTACAAAGGGGCTGCTGGGAGGTGAGGCTGGCCCCTCTGTTCAGAAAACACTTTACAGTAAGTTATCCTGGCCATTACCCTGGGGCCCCTTACTGCCCTTTAAAATTTTCACTCTGAGCTTTGTTGTTTGTTTGTCTATTTGCTTTTTGTGGATATGTTCTTTCCTTGCCAGCAAGGTTGTCTTATGCTGTTGTTAATCTGAGAATTTCTGTACAGTTATGTAATACATTACTTACTTTTTACTTTCCACTCTCTCTGATTTTGAGTGATTGGGAGTGGTGCGCCCTCAGTCCTCCATCCTCACCTAAGTTTTCTTGTAGTGCCTCCTTAGCATTGTTCCCACTTCAATATAGGTATGTGTTTTTGTTATTAATGCAATACATATACTCTTGTAGAAAGAAAATACAGAGAAGCAAGATGAAACATAAAAGTTTCTAAGGTCTCATGTAAAACTTCATGGTTTTATTAATATCTTTTATATTTAATTTTGCAAAAGTTGGCTTTAGTCAGGGAATAGAATATTTTCATATTATTTCGGGGAATGCCATTGTATTGCAAATGCTGTTAAAAATCTTAGAGCATAAGCAAGAGACCTACAAAGCAGCCCATGACTGTCAGAATAGGCTCCACATACGCTTCCTGCTTAATGAAAACCAGAGCATTTCCAGTGTCTGTGACTGACGATGAAATATTTGTTTAGGTCATATGTGCTTGTGAGATAATCTAATGCATTTTCAATCTTATAAATGAAAAAACTGCCTATTCTTGCTATTCATTTATAAATCATTGCAAATATAGTCATGATGTCTGATATTAAAGCAGCATAATTTTATCACTAAGTTGCATGACTTATACCTAAAATTAGAAGTTCATTTTCCTTACAAAATAAGAAATCTGTAGTTCTGAAGTTTCCCAAGGATCTGCCCTTTATTTCATTCATTTCAAACACAAATCGGTGTTTCCTTTCCATCTGAGAACCGTTTTGTCTCTTCAGTTTTTGGACATTGTGTTCTGTTATGTCTTCATTTTCCCCCCATTTTCTGTGCCCCACCCCTCTAGAACACAGATTAAATGGTTGTTACTTTGCTTGAATTAGATTTCAATATCTCACAATTTTTTATCATGTTAGTTTATTTGCTTTGTGTTCTAGATTTCTTCTTTATATTCAAATTAGTAATATTTTTCTTGGTTGTTATTGTATTATTTTTAGCTGGTCTCAAACTTTTTATAAATTTTAGCAAGATTATTCTTATTTCCCAAGAACAACTTTTTTCTCTCTGATATACTCATTAATATAGGTAGGCATGGGTTCTTAACTCATAGCAGTGATCCATAAATCACCGTGAATTCAGTTATTGTAAGGAATCAAATTATTCTGATGTGTTCTTTTTATTGAGGTATAATTCACAAACAATAACTGCATACACTTTAGGTATATAATGAAGTTGTTTTAACAATTGTTTGCACCCAAGCAACCACAATCAGCCAAAATATTGAACATTTCTATCCTCCAGAAATTTCCCTCAGACCCTTTCCAGCCTATTGTCTTCCCACTCCTGTAGAGGCGAGCTGGTTATGATTTCTGATACCTTAAGTTGGTCTCACCTTTCATATAAATGGAATTATTATCATAATAGACACTTTTGCATCTGGATTCTTTTACTCAGAATAATTTTCAGATTCATCCATTTGTTGCTTGTATTAGAAGTTTGGTATTATTATTATTACTAATAATATTTAATGCATAAATATACTACCTGTTGATGGACATTTGGGTTGTTTCCAGGTTTAAGCTATTATGAGTAATGCTTCCATGAATATTCATGTAATATGAAGGTTTGTATATTCTCATTTCTCTTGGGTAAAGGTGCAACATAATTCATATTTTTGGCAAACACTAATACCCACAGCCCCATCACTCATAGCTCTTAAAATCAACAAGGACTAATTTAATAAATAAAAAATAACTAAATTCTATCGTTTTTTAAACAACAAATACTAGGTGGTTTTTTTATGTGTATCCTAAGTGGAGGATGTTCTCAACTAAACTTTGGTCCTTGTGCTTGAGCTCATAAAGAAAAATAACAGACTGCCATGTAAATATTTTTCTCAGCATTTCAGTATCAACTAGATATAAATATTTAGTTTTCTCTAGTTATGTTCCAAATGTAAACATCTGTGTAGAGAACATGTTAGGTTCTGGAATGTTAGGCAATAAGTGGTGCAAACAGTGAAATGTCTGCCTGCGTGTGGATACCGTCTGGTCAGGGTCGTGTACATGTCTCCTCAGATGGCAGCAAGTATCCTCAGGTTTTAGGATTGGCCTCCAGGGCAGTGAGAACTTCTGATCAAGACTATGGATCCTGGTTGTTTTCTCCTGTTCAGCTCCCAGTCCCTCCCCCATAGCCCTGTGTATCAGAACCCTGTCACTGCAAGAAAGTGAGATGATCCACCAAATACATCATCCATGAAAACATAGGGTGGAAAGGGTTCTCCAAGGCATAAGATACCAGCACACTTTCAGGTGGAATTACAGCTCTCCAGGCCCCTACCGTTCTCTGCGAGTTAATTGGTTTATGATTGATTAGTGTAGGAAGGGAGAAGGAGAGAGAGAGAAACATCAATAATGAGAGAGAATCACTGATCAGCTGCCTCCTGCATGCCCCCCTACTGGGGATCAAGCCTGCAACCTGGGCATGTGCCCTGACCAGGAATCGAACTGGTGACCTGGTTCATAGGTTGACACCCAACCACTGAGCCATGCTGGCCCGGCCCATTTTCTCTTTTTTTCCAATTTATTTTTATCTAAAAATTTCTATCAGTTGATATCCTACAGAATTCTTTACTGGTTTAAAGTGCTATTAAATATCTGTTCCTTTAAAAAAATATATGTTTTTGCTCTGGCCAGTGTGGCTTGGTTGGTTGGAGCATCATCCCATGTACCAAAGGGTGCAGGTTAGATTCTCTGTCAGGGCACATACTCAGATTGCAGGTTCTATCCATGGTCAGAGTGTGTGTGAGAGGCAACCAATTGATGTTTCTCTCTCACATCAATGTTTCTCTCTCCCTCTCCCTTCTTTTCTTTCTAAAATCAATGAAAACATATCCTTGGGTGAGGATTTAAGCATAAATATATAGTTTTCTATCATTTTTAGTGACTTGAGGTGGGAGGGGATATAGTGATTGTCAAGTCACCATCTTGACTTGAATTTCTTTAGTCTTATGCTTTATGTGTTTTGTTTTTTTAACAAGTGTCTTGTTCATTTTGCAAAATAATGCATACCTTCTATAGAAAATTTAGAAAATACAGTCAGGCAAGATGACTGACAGTTTTTTAAAAAGACAAAACTATATGTTTCATAAGTATAATGTATATCCAACTTTGTAATAGGAAAGAATATTCAGGTCTTAAATTTCAGTGAAGCCACTGTACACTGAAGCAAAAATTTCTTTGTCCCAGCTTTATAAATTAAAAACAACTTGATACTATTGCTACTGAATTTTAATCTCTGAAAAAGGTTGTTTTAGAGTCTGTTAAAAAAATGAGATGAGTTAAGTTTGTGTTTGGCTGCATGTAATAGAAAATGAAGAGTTGTTTTGCCTCACACAAAGGGACGTGGGCCAAGTGTGACAGAAGCTACATGATGCCCCTTAGCAGAGACCAACCTCAGGTGACCTTCTGGCATTCTTCCCTGTGGCCATTGTCCTTACTCATACAAGATGCTTGGCAGTTCCAGGCTTTCATCCATGTGCTGTCATGAGCGTTCACAAGCTGACCTTGGTCTTTTGTTCAGGAAAGCCCTAGCTTTTCTGGAAGCACTCTTGGTAAATTGCCCTTTCACCTCATTGGCCACACTTGTCACATGATTGCTCTTAGCTGTAAAAGAACCTGGTGATCAAGGTCTGTAGTTTAATACTCGAATCCCTGGAACAAAACCAAGATATTGCTAAGGAAAATAGAGCTTGTGGTAGGCAACAGAAGTGTTTGCCACAGAGGCCAGTGTCGGAGTGTGTTTAGGTGGCTGCAGTAATGAACGCTGAAGGGCTGGATGCAATTGTTTGGGCTCAGGCAGTTGTAACTTCATAGATTGCCACACATATCCAGCCTTGTACATAGTGGAATGCACAGACACATTAGAAAGTACTTGCCCGAATAAGAATGCACTTTCGTTTCTCCATTTAGCCAGATGCTGCTTCTCTCAACAGTACTACCTTGTCAGATGGGTCCCAGGATGAAGAAGGGAAGTTTGCACTTCCCAGGAGTGGCTCTGTGGTAAGTCATCGCATGCCAAGACAATTGCATGTCAGGGCAAAATTGCCAGTTCAAGGCAAAAAGAAGCAGTTTCTTCAAAATAGATATGGAAAACTGTAAATAAGTTTGCAAGAACACCACAGCTGCCAGTAGACCCAGGAACCTTGAAATAATTAGGAGGAAGGAGACTCAAAACTGAGGAGTGAATATATTTCAGTTTAAAAGAGGACTTCATAAATTAATACCACTGCAGCCAGAAACCAAAGGGTATTCTTTACATCTGTCAAGCATGAAGGAATTTTATTAACTTTGGTCCTTTTAGCTGAATTCACACACATGATCTAGCTTAATTCTGCCATCTTAATACAGAAGTCCCTTTAATTGCAGAATAAGGTAAAACTCCTTATCCTTGTTGAAGTTTTTCCACTGTTGCCTCCCTTTCCAGCCTTAGCTCTCAGGACTCACCCATGCAAACCCTCTGCTCCATACACACTCACTCACTTGGCCTTGAGTAACAGAACCTGTACTTTTCTTTGTTAAAACTCTCATCATTCCCCCTCTCCCCCTTCACTGGTATCTCCGTGCAGATGCTCTGGCGGGGGTGATACAATGGACCAGAAGGAGTGAGAGTTCCTGTTAGAGGAGGCAGTGGTTCTCTGATGGCAAGTTGATGGACAGAAATAGCACTTCAGACAGACGGAGGAGGCACATTCAGGTGCCCCTGCAGGACAATAGTTTCTCCTCTGATGACCATTTTGAGACACCGTATGGTTGACATTCACATGCATGACACACTCCCAGTATATCCCATTGTTCAGGGAGATAATTGTATTATCCCCATGAAAATTAGCTTTTCTGTTGTTTTTAGATCTTCGGTTATGGAGTTGTTTTGTTTCGTTGTACAGTGATCACATAAGAAACATAAAATAATGTGAGTGACTTTTGTCTAATGAGTAAGTTGTCAGTGACACTACATGTTGGCATAGATAGACTAAGAATGACCCATACTGTCTGAACAACTGGCTATAAATTCAGCCCTTACTTTCCCATTTAAGACCATGTTGGAATGCAAATGAGTATGTCTCATAAAATGAACTCCAGTCCACCATACTTATTAAAACAAAGTAAGCCATTCACAAACTCTGGTAAGTACCAGAAGTAACTAGTTGTGTATACTATGCCTTAATACAGTTGTGCTGTGCGCCTGTGACTGGGGAGTCCTACTTTAGGTTCTTGCCCACCATCCTTCATTCTCTGCCTCAGCTGGTGATACCCAGGTGCCCAAGATCCAGATGTTAGTCTCAGAATCACCTATCCTCTCCCCCTCTACATGCCCATCACCGAGACCTGTGGATTTTATCATTTAAGTAGTTCTAGAGTATTTCTATTCCCCTCTTTTCCTACAACTACTTCCTTAGTTCAGAAACTTATCATTATCTTTCTCTATTGCTGAAATATCTCCTTAAGTCATCTCCTGGATGTTTGTTTATACACCTCAAATTTACCTTTCCAACAGCTTGCACATCTTGCTTAAAGCTCACCATTCTTCCCCCGACCTAGTTAACATGAAAGCTCCTGGCATAGTCTGACCCCTCATTTGCCTCCCTAGCTGACTCTGCCACCCAAGATGTTTTGTATGAGCCTCAACAAAGCATTGCCTGTGGTTCCAGGCACACAACAAGCAGAAATTGAAGTGGGGTGTTTGCACAATTGAGTTGCTAAGAGAGTTGGTTGGAAAAGCCTTGTTTCTGAGGCTTTTCCATGGCAGTTCCATGACCAAAATTTTACTTGAAATCGGACTGATGCTAGTCATGTTCTTTCATTTCTTTATTCTTTCTGATAGCTTCTCCATATCATTGGTTGCTTCATTCATTCATTCATTCATTCATACATTCATTCACTATTTTAAAAATCCTTACTGAGTACATATTTTCTGAAAACAGGATTCTTCTCTGCCTCCCTAGCTGACTCTGCCACCCAAGATGTTTTGTATGAGCCTCAACAAAGCATTGCCTGTGGTTCCAGGCACACAACAAGCAGAAATTGAAGTGGGGTGTTTGCACAATTGAGTTGCTAAGAGAGTTGGTTGGAAAAGCCTTGTTTCTGAGGCTTTTCCATGGCAGTTCCATGACCAAAATTTTACTTGAAATCGGACTGATGCTAGTCATGTTCTTTCATTTCTTTATTCTTTTCTGATAGCTTCTCCATATCATTGTTGCTTCATTCATTCATTCATTCATTCATACATTCATTCACTATTTTAAAAATCCTTACTGAGTACATATTTTCTGAAAACAGGATTCTTGAATATTTGAGAGTGTAAAAGAAATAAATGATTTTTATTGGAATCATTGAGCTTCCTGGGATAGATGACTTAGATTTTGGTTTTATTTTCATTTTGTTTTCTGAAAACTGATTTCATGCTGATAATGACATAAATAAAAGTTTAAGAAAAAAAATCTCTTTGGCACCAGTCTCCAAATGACTGACTTTGACTTTGGTTTGTTACTCAAAATATCTTTACTAAGAAATGTCCAACAATTGGGTATTTGCTAGAGCAGCCCGCAGAGGCCAACTTAACTCTTAATGCACCTGTATTGGAAATCATTCTAGAACATCTTACCAAGAGGTAAATACATTTTGCTTCCCCTGTTTTTGGTTATGGGAGCTACAGGCACTCTAGTTTGGCTCCCCCGTTTTTAGATGGTGGGATTTCCAGTAATTCAGTAAAGTGGTGGCACGGGCTTCAAGGGTCCTGGCATGATGTCTGTGAAGGTAAATCTTACCTGCCTAGATAAGTTCCCTGGGACATTTTACTGTCATCTACAAGACTACAGAGACTCCTAATAATTTGCCACATTGAAATTTATGTTATGGAATGGTATAAAGTAGGTATCCTAACTTTATCTTTTCCAAAGGGATAACCTTAGCTTGACCAGTATTTTTTTAATCTTTCATTTTTTCTACACATCTGAAATGAACCTTTATGATACATGAAATATCTATAAATACAGTGTTTATTTTGATTACTATGACTTTATAGTTTTTTTAATCTATGTTCAACCTCATTATCCTCCATCAAAATTTTCTTTGCTCTTCTTAGAAATGTTTTCTTTCAGATGAACTTAGAATAAGACTATTACTTCCCATTAAAAAAGAAATCTTGTTAGGACTTGACTGAGAATTTTATTGAATTTAAAGATTAATGTCATGGAAAGAATTCACATCTTAAAATATTGTTTCTTATTGAGAAACAATGATTGTGTCTTTCCATTTATTTATGTTATCTGTCCTTTAAAAAAACTTCAAAATTTTCTATCTTACATTTTTTTCTTACACATCTTTTCATTGTTTAATTACTAGGAATTTAATAGTTTTCTTTCATATTTTAAATGGTAGGGTTTTTATGATATCTTCTAGTTTGTTTTTGCAGACATATAAGGAAATTATTTATTTTGTTCTTTTACAAAAGTGTCTCGTATAGCTTCCTTTCTGAAATTTTTTTTTGCTTATAAATTTTCATTTGATTTTATAATTTGCGTAGATATCATCTGAAATACTGAAAATTTTATTTACCCAATTTATTTTTTCTTTTCCTTGTCTGACTGACTGACCACAGTCACTTTAACATTGAATAATATTTATGGAGATCTTTAGGTAAGTTTTTATTTTCTCGTGACATTCTACTAAGTTTCATCATTAACTAGAATACTTATTCTAGATATCTTGCTTTTTATCAGGAATGGAGGTTGAATTTGTAAAATGATTATTCATCATCTATTAAAATGAATATATTATTTTTCTTAAGCAATTCAGAAAATTACAGTGATAGGTTTTTCTAATGAACTGTAATTTTGTTGCTTAAATAAATCCTACTTATGTGTCATATTATTCTTTTATTTTACTACAGAATATGCTTTGCTACTACTTTAGCATTTTTAACCACTAGTCTAATATGTGGTGTTAGTATGTGTGCATGTGTATGTGTGTGTGTGTGTAATTTTTTGTTGTTGTTACCAGAGCTACGCTAATCTTGATACAAATAGGTTGTGAATTTCTAATGTTTTTCAATATTTGGTAGTTATCACTCTATTTTAGAGTGAAAGAATTAATATGTTAATGTATTAATAGTAGCTAACTCTTATATAGTGCTATCTACCAGATACTGTTTCATGTAATTTTATATAGGATAAGTCTTTTACAATTCATAATACCTCTTTGAAATATGTTCTGCTAACATCTTCATTTTACAGATTAGGAGACTTAAGCAATAGGGAGTTCTAGTAACTTGCTTAAAGTCACACAGTAAGTGGCAAAGCCAGAATTAAAATTCAAGCAGTCTGGCTCTAGCATCACTTTTAATAACACCTAGCTATGTCATGATTAGAGTTTATGAACAAAATGTATGACCAAGTACATCAAGAATAACAAATGTTGCTCAATGGTTATTGTTGGCCCAATGTACCAAAGGGTTTCAAGTTAAACTCCTGGTTAAGGGCACATACCTGGGTTGCAGGCTTAATCCTCACCCCGGCCAGGGCATGTGTGAGAGGCAACTAGTCGATGTATCTCTCTCTCATGTTTTTTCTTTCTTTTTCTCTCTCTCTCTCTCTCTCTCTCTCTCTCTCTCTCTTTCTCTCTCTCTCTCTCTTTCTCTCTCTCCCAGCCTCCCTCCCTCCTCCCCTCCCTTCTCCCCTCGGTTCCACTTTCTCTAAAAATCAATGGAAAAATATCCTCTGGTGAGGATTAATAACAACAAAAAAAGAGAATAATAAATACTGTGTCCTGGCCAGTGTGGCTCAGTTGATTGGGGCATTGTCCCATACACCAAAAGGTGACTGGTTTCAATTCCCAGTCAGGGCACATAGGTTGCAGGTTCAATATCCTGTTGTCGGATGTGTGTGGGAGGCAACTGATCGATGTTTGTCTATCACATTGATGTTTCTCTTTCTCTCTCCCTTCCTCTCTCTAAAATCAATTTTAAAAATACTATATTTGTCAAACTCTGTGACATCAAGAATGTAATATCTATGTGTTAGGAAAGATATGAGCAATAAATATTTAAGAGCTAAGAAGCTGCACTTATTTTAACCTTGGCCTAGTTCTCTTTTGAGTAATTGTGTGGGCTGTACAGGCCTGAACTGAATGAAGAAACAAAGGAAATTAGAAGCAGGCCCAAGAATTTCTTTTAATTCTCTTACACTACAGAACATAAATCAGATTGAAATGTAGGTAGACTGTATTGATGGTAAATGCTCTGTGTTCATCTTCCTTGTTTCCCAGTCTATCCTCGAGACTATTCCAGATATACCAGTTCATTCCAATGGATCGGCCAGCCCTGGACAGTCCGTTCAGAATTCCATGAGTGGTGAGTGACACAGCCTCCTGCTGAGCTTAAGCTATGTCTTCTCATTTTTGTGCTGGTGCTCCATAGAGTTAGCAGTGAGTTTCTTAAAGGGAAATGTAGGTGTTATTCTCCCCATGTTGATTCTGTCATTCCAGCATGCAACCCTTCCACCTCCAAACACCCTTATCAGTCCCACCAGACAAAAGTAATAAAGCCAAACTGGGAGCAGAATCTTTTCCTCCTTTGCTACCACCATATCATTTAGAAACCACTCGCTTGGGTAGGGTCTTTGTTTTGGGGCCTCTTTCACAAGTAATCTGGACCTCTTAACAGTTGCAAATAAGCCGGAAGTAGGCCACTGTAATTATGCTTCCCCAATAGCAGCAACATTAGGTCTAGATGGACTTAATTTTAATATCATAATAATATATAGAAATATGCCATGTTTGGACTTCCTCTAGTTATCTGCAAGGCCTTTCATGAGACAAAATCCAAAATTGAAAACATCAATTAAATAGAAAATTTGTTTAGAGGATGATAATAGACATTTATTCATATGGAAGTCTGAGGATACGTTACTGGGTCTGACACCTTTCCCTGAACGTAAACATTCTAACATGCTATGGATTAACTTGTAAATAGTTTGTGCTTATTTTAAAGTAAGTGGTATTGATTGATTAAGTGGCATATTAAATATTCTATATCATTTTTTCTTAGATGATGATTATCGGGTAAAGAACATTCCACCTGAAGCTGAAGAGCTGTCCTTTGAAGTATCTTACTCAGAAATGGTTACAGAAGCTCCAAAAAGAAATAAATGTAAAAAGTCAGATTTTAAGAAAGAAGACTATGTTTTTACTGTAAGTAAAAGCTTTTATCATTATTCCACTAGCCTCCTGTGACTTCTACATGGCACAAACTAGAATTTTTAAAAACTTCATTGGGTGTGCATAGAGATAGGGAGAGGCCAGGCATCATAAACTCGGGGCGTTATTTGCTGCGTAGAGAAACCTGCCTGGCTGTTGCTGGCAGCCCTGGGGTGAGGAAGAGTTGTGAGGGTGTGTGTCCTTGAATATCGTTGTAGAGATGAAATCGGATCTCCACCTGTCTGTGTGCTTTCATGCACTTTGTGTCCTTACTTATAGGTTAATGCAGATTCTAACAGTATACTTACTTATGCCTCTAGAACCACATATCACATGGGAGCATTGCAGAAAGTCATAGTCATAACAACAAGAAATGAAAGCTTATAGGACAGACACTAAAAATTAATCAAAAAACAAAGTCAAGAATTTATAGTTTTATTATGGATGAGCAAGAAGTGCTCCATACCTCATTATCCTGAAAGCCTCATTATGTCTAGGATATTATATCCTGATAGCCCAATACAGGAACTATGTTACACTGATCTGCTTGCTATTCAATAAATGCATTTGAGAAGAGTTCATGATATGGAACCCTGAATTTCTGTGCTGACCAGGGCAGGCAGCATGGTGAGGAGGGCTCAGGTAGTTTCAGAGCTAAAGGAGGGAGTCATCTAGAAACAGGAGGTCTGCCCCAGGAGGCCTGGATCTTTCCCAGACAAGCCTCCCATGATGGAGAGGAAGAAGGAGCAGGGCAAGAACTGAAGACTCGCTGAGTGCCTTCTATGGGCTTGACACTGCACTAGGTATTCACCTGCAATCATCCCTGTGATTGTCCCATTTCTCAGCTGAGAAACAGGCCCAAAGAAGCTAAGTAGCCCATACCCAGTAGATCGCAGAAACAGGATTTGAACCTATGTGTGTTAAACTCCAAAAACCCTCTTGGTCTCTAAGCAGCCTCTGTGGTGAAGGGCACGGGGGCATTCTAGAGCAAGAGAGGGAGTCCAGTGGGACTCTGGTTTCCTGGGGAGTCCCTCAGAATCTTTAGAGAGAGCTGCCCAAGGGAGGACGCTTGCCCCCAGTCCCCTCATCCAAGTGTGTGTCTCCTTCTGAAGTTTTGCACACCCAGGGTACAGAACAGCCTCCCTCCCATGAGGAACTTTGCATAGGGTTTAACATGCAGTAATTGCTCAATAAATGATTGTGGTTGTTGTCTATATTGTTGTTGTTATGTGTTGTTATATGGGGCCTTGGTCTCAGAAAGAAGATAAAATAACTAAACATTTAGTAGCACAAGTTATGCCCCAAAACACATCCTATATTTTGTTGTTTAACTTTTAAATACTTGGAGTTCCAATGAATAATTGGTGATTGAATGAATGAATGAATGAATGAAGTTTTAAAGCCTCAAAGCTGACTACAATGTCTTTCACCATGTATGTCCTTTTTTTTATCCTCACCTGAGGTTATTTTTCCATTGATTTTTAGAGAGAGTGAAAGAGAGAGGAAAAGACTGAGAGAAA